GCTACAGCAGCAAGGCTCTCATCAGTCGATAAGTGGGCCGGCGCACACGCGATGACCCAAAACTTTGAAGATTGACATCTCAAGGTATACGGGGGCCAATGAAGATTCTCTTTTGAGATGGTTCGTCGGATTAGAAGACGCCATCAGGGCCCGTCACATCGTTGGTGACGAGATGCAAGTCGACGTCACCCTGTCAAATTTGACAGGAAGTGCAAGGACTTGGGCCTTAGGACTAAAGCTTCACGACCAAACGTGTTTAAGGCATTTGATACCTTCGAGTCTTGGCTCAAAGAGACATTTGAGCCGCACGAGAGCCGAGTTCAGAGCACGCTCTGCACTCTTGAGGCTAAAGCAAGGTAAGCGTGACGTGCACGCAAATGCACAGAACCTACGATACCTTGCGAGTAGCGTCACGAAAAACCCTGTTGATGAGCACACACTAATCAACGTATTCATCTACGGCCTTGTGGATGGGCCGGTGAAGACCTACATGTTCCAAGAGGACTTCCATACGCTGGAAAGGCGATAGCGTCTGCGGAACAAGAAGACTTCAGCCTGAGACAGTCTCAGGCTAACTCGTCCAACTATCGTCCGACGAGACGACAGGAAACAGGAGGCCCCGAAGCAATGGACCTCTGTTACATCGAAAGCGAGAACTCTCGCTCTCTGAGTCACAAGCGAACGGCTAGATTCCATCGCTGTCAGATGATTGGGCACTACGCTCATGAGTGTAGTGTCCCGAGCACTGCAACACGTCCAAAGACAGGACGTGATGACCACCGTTAACCAAGGAAAGGTCCAAGGCGTGGGTCCGACCATGTCGCTAAACTAAGACAGCAAGTCGGACCGCCAAAAAACGGACAGGGTCAGTAGGGGAGGAGCGCCCGGCTGATCCAGTAACGTCAAGATAATTTGCAGGAATCTTGACGAAGATTGCTCCCAACACACAGTCGCTGTGTGTTACTGCCCTTAGTGATGAGGAGTCTCTAATCACTTTGAAGATCGAAGTGACAAGTGGAACGTCACTTCGCGCCCTAGTTGACTGTGGTGCGTCGAACAGTTTTATTCGACGCCAGTCGCTAGAAGGTAGTAGAATCAACTATGATGAGCGAGAGTTCCCTCCAATGAGAATGACGGTGTGCCTTGCTACAGGCGCATCCGTAACATTGAATAAACGAGTAGTGGGAATCCACAACACTCTAGAAAGAAAGCAGTACGATGATGACTTCATCGTACCGGATTTGGATGACAAATTCAATGTCACCCTTGGTCTGCCATGGCTTAGAAAGTACCGGCCATGGGATAGTTGGCAGCATCGATCCGTGAAGATGCCTGCCGTTTTTTCCTCAGATGGCCATCTGTTGGACGTCTTGCACCGTCCACAAGCGTGTGGATGTACTACGAGTGAGTGCGATGGCCTCACTTGTGGTACGGTCGTTACTGCACAAGATCACAGCGTAGAAGGCCACTGTACTGTGGAACCAGCTTCTGGAATCTGTGTAGAGACACAGGCTGCTCCGAAGGTTCACCACTAGAAGAGAGTGAGTGGACTGGAAGACGGATGCACACCAAGAAGGGTGCATCCGAGAAGAGAGATTAGTGTTGTTCAGGATGAACAACACGTTGAAGCGAGATCGATTTTTAGAGAGTCGATCGCAGAGCAAGCCCGATCAACTGAAAGAGAGTCGATCGAAGAGGACGTGAATGTGTTAGTACATTAGCAGTCAACGCACGTATTAGAAAGAAGTTCCAGCGTTCCTGAGAGTGATAACTTCCGAGAGAGTTATGTTGAGGGTGGGGATCCCCAACCACCTGCGGATGTGTTATCCGAGGAAAGCACCGAGACAGTGAGTGTCTTGGTGAATGACGGATCAAGTGTAGGCGCTTACACACTTGATCTGGTTACGACCCCGAAGTCAGCTTCGGAAGTGGTCAAGTTTCCAATGCTAGAATATACAAGATTCTTGCGATATCTGCGTAGTGACAAGATCAAGCAGATCTGCGTACTCGTCACAGAAGACGAGTACGTCGCCGATACTCGTTCGGCACAAGTGTTTGCTGAGAATGAACGGGTTCTCAGTAGTTCATCTATGGACGAGCGTGTCCTCGATGATGAAACCAGGATTGAGCAATACACGTCTCAATCTTGGGAGTCTTTGAAGACAAATTCTTTGTTTGATTATTTGCTCGAATTTAGGGATGTTTTCACTGAAACCGTGCCATGCGATCTGTCTAAGGAAAAAGGCACTCGGCATGAGATCGAACTGAAACCCGGTTCGAAGTACTGTGTCATGAAGCAGTGGCCACTGCCTCGTGAACAGGTCACAGCGATCGACAAATTATTTGCCCATCGCTTGGCGGCTGGTCATGTGAGGGAATCAACATCCCCATACGGCTCTCCGACCTTCTGCGTGCGAATGACCACAAGAGGGTGGCGGATAGTGCACGCGTTCAACAAATTGAACACTGCGACGGTACTGGCTCAAACGCCGACACCGAGGAAGTACGTAATTATAGATGGTATGGCAAAAAGTGCCATCTTTTTGTCCATGGATCTGATGGATGGATCAGATCCTCATGCGTGAACGGTATATCCCTTACACATCAGTGAGCCCCCCCCAGTGGTATGCTCTGGGAGTGGCTAGTGATGCCACAGGAGCTAAGTAACGCCCTTGCAACGTTTAACAGATGTGTTACGAATCTGTTGCGATCGGTAAACGATTTCGCACCGAGTTACTTTGACGACAGCTTCGTCCATATCCACATTGTGGATGGAAAGACGAACGTGGAGGTTCATTGAATCCACATCCGGAAGGTTCTTACACCAATGCGAGAGCATAAGTTGTTCGCGAACCTCAAGAAAGTGTGTATTCGCAGCCAACGAAATATCACTTCTTGGCTGCATCGTGGTAAAAACGGCGTACGCCCAGATCCGGAAAAAATCGAGGCGATCAACGACTGACCTCTGCCAGTCGACGTCAGAGGACTACAAAAGTTCCTTGGCTTGGCGGCGTACTTGTACAAGTACTCGCGCAACTACGCCACGAATGACCGTACATCTTTCTCGTCTTTTAAGAAAAACGAGAGGTGGTCATGGAACGCTGAGTGCCAGCACTCCTCTAAAGGTATTCAGAAATGATTAATACAATCGCCCGTGTTGGAGATTGCAGACCAGGATAGGCCATTTCACGTGGTCCGTGACGCCAGCGATTTTGCAATCGGCGGCCCATTAATGCAGTACGACTCAGACGGCGTTGAACGCGTCGTCTGTGATCAATCGCGTCAGCTGCAAGCATCTGAGCGTTATTACCCGGTGCGTGACAAGGAACTCCCTGCCGTGATATGAACTGGCTAAGTTTCGGGTAGGTCTCTTAGTAGATAGTCCCTTCATCGTTTATACCGACCATGCGTCGTACGCACGGCCGTAAACAATCCACACCTCTCGCACCGAATGGAGAGGTGGCTGTCTTTCTTCGAGAAGTACAACTTCTCAGTCAAGTATAAACCGGGAAGCCTTAATGTCGTCGCTGATGCTCTTTCGCGTCGGCCCGATGTCGAGCCGACTGCTCAACCCAACAGCAGGGGTGATCCCACTGTTGCAACACTATCAGTGAGTATTTCGTCGTCGAATCTGCTCGATGAAGTGCGAAGAGCATACGCAGAAGATGAGTCTTTTCTGCAATTGATGGATCAAGTATCTAATCTATGCACTCAAGCTTTGAAAAGCTTATCGTCTCAATACCGCTCTTCATTCGAACGGTATTATGTTCGTGATGGACTGCTGTACTGTACAGCAGTCAACGGCGACACACCTCGTGTCGTCGTTCCCGCTCATAATGATTTGCGATCACGCATCATGTATGAGTGTCACGTTGCCCCAACAAGTGGGCATCGCGGTACAGAAAAGACTTACCCCACGGTAAGTCGTATCTTCTACTGCCCCCGCCAATATAAGTTTGTGCGCAAATACATTCGCGCTTGTGAAGTCTGTCAACGGGTGAAGCCTAGTCCTTCATCCCGCGCACCCTTGCAGCCTCTACCGATTTCGGCAGAGTGTTGATTGCCCGTATCGATGGACTTCGTTTTTGGGTTTCCCAAAGACGTTCACGAGAATACTGCTATTCTTGTGTTTGTTGATCGGTTCAGCAAGATGGTACATCTTGTTGCTGTACCGGAGTCAATCACAGCCCAGGGTTGTGCTCGTGTCTTCATCGATACTATCTTCCGACTTCATGAGTTACCCTGTGAACTCGTGTCTGATAGGGACCTCCTCTTTACAGCGGAGTTATGGCAATACGGGTTCCGTTCAATAGGAACACGTTTGACGATGTCGACTTCTGACCATCCTGAAACAGATGGCCAGATGGAACACGTCAACCGCGTTCTCAAAGAGATACTTCGAGGGTATGTCCACTCGTTTACGAGTTGGAGTGAGTTCTTGCCGATGGCAGAATTCGCCATCAACAACTCGGTGCATACACCGTTCTTCGTGAATGGCCTACGCCATCCACGTTTACCCGCCTTCTTAGAGTGTGACTCTAGTTTAAGGGGGGGGACTCGCTCGAACAAAAATCGATCTGGATCTTGCTCATCACCCGTCGACAATGGTGTCGACGTGATGGATGCTGATGTCGATCACATCGACACCGATGATGATTATGACGACGATGCTGGTATATTCCGCATCTCCAATGACTGCCACAGTAAGAACGATGACATTCTCACTGTTAAAGACAACGTTCTTTCAGCAGTGCACACGAAGCGCACTGCTGTTGACAAGGATGAATCAGCAGAGGAATTTCTGCTGACTCGCGAAGCGGTTGTCCGCTTCGTTCGAGACTCTATTGCAGATGGACTAGACAGACAGAAAAGAAACGCAGACAAACATGGAACAGAGAATGTTCTTTCATATGATGAAGGAGATTAATTTTTATTGTCTACAGTAAATCTACCGAAACACGCAGTGACAAACGTGGACAGCAGTAAATCACTGCTCAAGCTTATCGGTCCATCTCGTTTGTTGCGTCGAATGGGCAACGCACACACGATTGAACTGCCCTGTAAGATGCGTACGCATCCTGCGTTTTACGTTGGACGTCTCCGCCCGTACTATCAGTACGATCCCGTTTCGAGATGCGAAGAACACCTCCGCGGACAAGGGCCGAGACCACCTTTGCATGGTCCCGTTTCAACGAGCCAGTCTGGTCGACTAGAGAAGCGACCTGTTCACGCAGTTGAGCGATGGCTCGACAAGCTGCAGTCAGCTCGTTACGAAGATAACGAGTCGAACGTTCGTTCTCAAGTTGCGCGAACGCAAACGCGGCACGATCTTTGAAACGATCGTGCTCTAAGGAGTTGTAATTATCCTTTACAAGTTCACAGAGCTCGTAACGCCGATTCCGTTCGTGATTCAGGTCATCTTGCAACTGTTCCGTTACACGGTACAGTTCCTGATCATCAAGTTGATCCAAACCTCGAGCCGGATCAGGTGTTCCCGCCTCCACCACATCCTTTGGTGAACTCAGGCGGTGGTCATTGCTTTCTGGTGGAGCGTATCTTAAAACCACGGCTACGTGGATGGCGTCCGGACGAGTTACCTCGTCCGCTGGCGTGGCTGTGCAGCGGCGTGGGACAGCTGGGAGCCTCGTGCCCAGATGATTGTTGATGTCCTGGGTCTCGTCGAGCAATCTGACGAGACCCGCCTGCTGCATTCGAACAAGGGCCGTCGGAAACCAACCTCCCCGAACACGAGTACAGGGATTGCAAAGTGGCAATCTCTTTGACCGTCTCATAAGAGATGCGCGCCGTACAGTAGGAATCATTAGGGAGGTAGACCTCCCTAGGGGCACAATTCGAGCTGTCCAGGCGACCTGGACACAAATCAACCCACGAGAGACAGGTTAATCCTGCCTCTCTTGACAGCCGGTGCAACTTGTATCGAACCCCGACTGGGGTGCGCTTTTTAAACCTGATGCGAGCTGCATCAAGTTTACCGAGCCAGGCCTCACGGCCAATGCACTCGATATTATGGATGAAGGTATTCCATCCTTGCACCAAGGCCTTACCGTCTCGACCACGGTTGCCGTTGTACCACCACTGATGTTTGAAGAGCACATCGGTGAAGAACTCTTCCTCAGCACGGATAGTTTCCGTGCTAAAATAGGTAGGACGGATCCTCCTACAGTCAAACAACGGAATTTGATCCCGTTCGGTGGTCACATGGGCCACTCGATCCAGCTCTTTGGATGGTGGCATCCAAGGAGACTCCACTTGAGGAGCATGGCGCAGGACATTGCGGTCCTTGGTCTCTTGAGTGGTATCAGCATGAGCACTGACAACACTAGCAGCTCGATACCTCGAGTTGCTTCTCTCGTAATCACGCACAGGTGCTTCCCCACCATCAACACGCGTCCTATTGTTAGATGTATTGCGTAAGATGAGGATTCGTCAGACGAATCACTCGGTCCGAGGATCCCGGACATGATGCCTCCACGTTCCCCAAACAGGTCATACTGGTTCTTGATGTGTCCTCCCCGGAAGATCCGGAGGCGTGAGGTTTCGCCTTCGATTCGAATGCATCAGCCGACTCGCCAGAATCGATGAGCTCTATTTCAGGCTCATCCGCATTGCAAGCCACAGCACCCGCTGCAGATGTAGCGAATGTATCTGTCGCACATGGTGACTCACCACGCGGACTAGTCGCGACAGGCACTGCCTGTTGCTAACTTGCATCAGCAGGAGAAGGATCACCTTCTAATGAAGCAAGATAAGTGCTATCTTTGGATGCACGCATGCGTGCAACCGCCTTTCTGGCTGTTTCGGCAGCGCACCGCATGGACTTTTGCACCATACGAAAAATTGGCAAGTGAGTTGGAATTTGACCGACAATTGTTCCCCTTTTCAAAGTGATCTAACGGTGATCACCTCATCACAATCAATTTAATTCAATTGACGGGGTGATTAATGGTCAAGTGGAGTGGGTGATATAACATGATATCCCGTTACATGAAATTGACACCAAACGGTGTCAATAGGGAGATTTTCTAGCGTGACAATTCCCTGCCAATATTATCCGAGATGGATAAGATGGAAGGAGCATTATCCCCTTGTAGGATGATATTCATGCACTGATCAAAGATTAGTTGGTAAAGACACGTCAACCGAGATAACCACCAATCGCTGCTAGACGCGCGCAATGAGTGGTAAGTCGGTTGTCGTCGTACGACAATGTAGATTAATATAGTCAGAAAAAGACCGAAGTTATATTGACAGCTTAACTGTATTTAGTAGAGTTCTCTTTTTACCCTTTGCTCAATTTAGCTGTTTAAGTAGATTAGCTTCCTCTGCACGTACTAGTGTACGTGAAGTTTCGCAACAACCCCAAATAAAGGGTCCCACGTTACAATTGCTCACATCACCTTCTCTCCTCTTAAATTTCTATTGTTGCACCAAAGAACTTTGGCGCATCTAGTTGCTAACATCTTTATTTGTAAATACCCGAGAGATATTCATGATACGCCCAGCTCCAAAGACTGACATTGGCGCTTTTCGAGCACCGCGACGCACTATCAAGCATGTCACCCTCTATAAATATAGGCCGTGTCACCTTCATCCGACGATATTGGCGAAAAGATGCCAACATGGCAGCACTGTCGATGAACACGGCATCAAATAATTGACTCACTACGAACGCATGGTGCATTCATCAATATTAAGTCCTGTCCTTCTCTTTCTGGTACTACAGGAAGAAAATCAAACGATATCGACACCTCCAGGATTTCGGACCAGCCAAATTGTTCAATTATGCTGTCAGAAGTGCCCTGCCTACAGAGCCATTGTATATCTACGTAGAGGAAACATACATGATTACTTTACTCTACGGCAAGGTCGCTTCAGACGCACCTGAACTACGCATCCTGCTAGATCTCTGTAAGCGAGCAGAGCTTACTTCGCGACGAATGAACATTCTCAAGCGAGATATCCTCAAGCAAATCATTTGCTTCACCCTGTAGCACGTACAATCATGGCTGAAACTTCTTGAGCAGCACGACGTGCGTCCAGTGGCAAGTCTCCGCCTCGACGGCAGATTTCATTGCATGCAAGTCTGTAAGGAGCTTTGCGTACAACCTCACAAGCTGCTTAGCGATGGTCTTGTTGAAATGGAAGCAGACGCCAAACCCCACAAGCTTTTCCTACCAGCAGTCACTTAGCAGCGACTCCATTGTCGTGAGACGCTCGTGGGCATTTTCCAGTAGCCGATTAAGCCGCAGCTTGAAAAAGTCCATCTTCTTTATATCCTATGCACGAAAGTAGTACGAGTCGACAATCAAGTTCAGTATATCTCGGATATCGTGGGGCGATGCTGCCATGTGTCGCCGCAGCTTCTGCATCGCACTACCACAAGAGAATGGCAATAGTAAAAGTCCATTGTTCCAGCCAAGCGACGCTTCCAGTCAAAAGATCACATGCTAGTGCTGCTGTCCGACGTACAAGATTAAGAAGGGAAGCATCATCGTCGCAAGTGAAAAAAAGGTGCCCGCGACACCAACTGCGCTGTAAATGGCCAGCTGTTTAAGCAGATTCTTCGTGCCATAGTAGATGTAGCGAAGCTGCACAGCCTCCTAAGTCAGAGGAAAACTTAACGCTCTACGAGCAACTTGGTTTCAAAGAACTAACCACTTTACGAGTCAACAAGCTTTACAGCTTCAGATCCCTGTTCCAGGACACCTACCGATTCAGTGAATCGACAGCACTTAGTGCACAAGAGTAGTTACCTCAAGGAGGTGTTGCTAACTCTTAGTGATCAGTGATCAACGATCAAGACGGCTCGCAAGCCACGTGTCCTTCAGATCAAAATGGGAACTGATTTATTTTTGTTAAAGCCTACAGAATATCTTAATCCTACTCAAAGATCTTTCGTACCTAATGGCTGACACTCGTCAGCCCCTACAAACCAATAAGAAATTCTATATCACCTTCACAAAGGGGTAACCTCAGGTGTGTAACACCTCTGGTACGAAGTACCATAATCTCGTGCAACCCCGTTACACCCTCCCCCACCAGACTGACGTTTGCAAAAACGTCAATCGAGCTTGTGTTATCAGCGAGAACAGTGCGCGTACGGTGAACCTCACGGTAACGTACGCTATAGCACGATGTCCTCATCGCCAAACGAGTCAAAGGCTTTGTGTGACTACCTCGGAATAGAGGAGGAGGTGGACTATGGTAGCGATACCAGTGTCCGCGGTGATACAGAGACAATCTGCGGCTCACTGATGCCTGAGGCACAACCTTCGAACACCCCAAATCCGTTCTCCGACCGTGGAGATGCGAGCGTGCCACCAGCGTAGCATGCAGCATCTGGGTATGATGAGACTATCATCACGAACCCGCTCGATGAGCAACAACAATTGCTTGTCCAAAGAGAAAAAAACGCTCAGCGTTATGTACAAATGGCTGCAACCCTTGAACGCCAGCGTGACTATGTGTTCACCCCACCCAGTGTGGCGAAATGTCTACGTCAAGCGGCCGGCCAAACATTGGCAACGTGGGTCATTGGCCATGGGCCTAACACTCCTGAGGAGGTGGTGAGCTGCTAGGCACTTCGTGAGAGGTACCTGGAGCCGAACCAAACCACTTAAAGTCAATACAAGGCACGCCTTGACATGCAAGCACGTGGTGCACCGATTCCACCGATTAAGGGTATATTCATTCTCTTGCTCGCAGGCGAAACAGTGAGCGAAGAAGACGATGCCTTCGTTCACTGGGTGCACTATGTGCGTCGCCTCAGCAACATATTGCTCTAAGGGCTAGTGCCCATGCGGCGGATGTGCGTCTCGAACGCAAGCTTTGGTATGATTATGCCAAGCTTAAGGCCAGAGGCCAATTGTGCAAGCACACGCGCTCTGCTTCGGCTACTAAGGTAGCCGCGAGTGCTGGTCAGTCTGTGGCCAACAACCCGCCAACTTGCACCACTAGTGGTGGGGAACGGCCTCGGTCTCGAGATGACCATGGCCACGATGCTCAAAAGCATCCAAAGCATATGGGCAGTCTTGCCGAAGGGGTACCTCACATTCCCATGAGTTTTCAGACTCAGGGTACCCACGCCACTTTACCAGATACTGGTATTGGCCCTGAAGACGACGTCATTTCAGTAGTCTCTCGACATGAAATTGACGACACCCATGCTCATCGAGCAAAGTCGGTGGCGGCCGGTGTACCGGTGGAAGCCCACGAGAAATTGGTTATCGAAGTGAAGGGTCTTCAAGAGGCCTTGGGTAAGTCCCAGTGCATGCTGGATGCGATGCAAAGCCACCTTCAGGCGATGGAGCAAGCTCAAACTCGGAGCGAGGCTCCCGCGATAATAATTTTGTAAAAGTGCAGCAGTGCATGGGTTAAAAAAAAGACAGGGCCATCATGCATACAAATGCACTAATTCGATCGCGGTATCACGTATTTGCAGAAAATGTATGTCTAAGCGGCCAAAAGGGGCGACGACGTGGTTCCGACGCTGTTGAGAAGATGCAAAACTTCAAGGGACAGTAACTCTCTAATTTTAGGGTAGTAGGTGCAAACCACTCTGCTGATGCAGCTATGAACGGTAAAAAAGTCAAGTCCCTTTAATAGAGAGTATACCTAAACACGATCATTACGTATTTTGCAACCAGTAACGATGTTTTTATTTAGCTGAAGCTCGAAGTAGTAATCAATATGTCACCATGAGTTCTGGTCGATCTTAGGCGTTGAAAATTTATACAGTACTAGTCCTTTGAGGAATATATGCTAAATCAAATTGAGCGCGAGTTCCCTTCAACGAGGATGACGGTATCCGCGCGTCATATAATTTTTTTAAAAAAGCACTGAAACGTGTGATGAAATATTCCTTCTATATTGAAAATGGTACAATACGATGGTAAATCATCGCATTGGAATTAAGTGAAAAGCTTGATGTTATATTTGGTTCACATTGGCTCCGAGATACGAGACATTAGTCAGCTGGCATTGACGAAAAGTCAATCTGTGCGCCTCTTGTTAATCTTATGGCCATCTGATGAACTTGCCGTTTCCATAAATATTATAGTGTAGTGTAAGCGATTGAGTCAGACTCACTTGAGGCTCGACCGATAGTACGACTGCAAGTGATTCAAGTTTGACAGGCTATCACTGTTTGGATCAAGAATTCGGCGACTGCATCAAAATAAAAGACGCGCCGGGGGCACATTACCCGAATAGGTCAAGTGGAACGGGGCTTGTGTGTTCTCTTACTGGAAAGCACTCAAGGAGTAACCAACTGGTTGCCATTGACCGGGTATACGAACATTGGAGATCGATAGGAGAATCGAACATAGAGGAATTAGCTACGGTAGTACTATAATTTCTAGAAGACGCCAAGGGAGCAAAACCCGCTCGTTTAAAAAGAAGTAGCCTAAAAGCCTAGAATTATAGGAATAGGTTCTCGAAATACTGTGGAATAAAGTTTTATTGAGAGAAAATGGAAATCTAACGTATTGAATATCGACGGATAAAATTTAAGTGCTTACATACTTTATCTGATTTTGGCCTAATAAAATATTTTGGAAATCACTTATTTGCTAAAGCTGAAACGGATTCGGTTCTTGCGTGTAATGCGTTCTTGCACAGTCAATAATATCTGCATACTGTTCACAAAAGACGAGTACGTTACTTATATCCAGTCGGCAATTTTCTCTGATGATTCGTTTCTATAAATCTCATGAATTGGCGAGAGTATTTTTGTTAGTAGGAATCAGGTCAAGCTATACATATCTCAATTGTGGAACCTACTCAATGCACAACCTTTATAAGATTATAAACAGAGCTCAATGATGTTTGCCTAGAAGCATCGTCGTGTGTGAATACTAAAATTAAAGGTATTCTTCACAAGATCGATCTGGAAACAGGTTCGAGGTACTGTGTCACCAATTTGGAGCTCTTGCCTCGTGAACAAGACTAGCAATCGATATGCTTCGTGCAACTGCTTAAATGCCAGTCATGGGACGGTGCTGACCTCTTTGCATAGCTTATAGAACTTGTGTGTGTAAACATTTACAGGAGAGTGGTGGATAGTGTTTGCATAAAAAATTTGATGCTGCAACGGTACCACTCACATACCGAGAAGGGATGTCATCATAGATGACATGAAAAATAGTATCATGTTTACGTCTATGAAATTGGTGGATGGCGTCCATTAGATCCTTATACGCGAATGGGACATCTAAAATGCACCAGTAAGCACACCGAGCAGTATGCTACGGGAGTGACGGTGATGCCACAAGGTGAACGCAATACCACTTCTATACTTTAACGGACGTGTAGCAAAACTTATAAAATTTCTGCGAGAATTATCGGCTGGTCACCTTGCTGATGTTTAGTCCATAGCCGGGCTATGGCAGAAGGAAGGATGTGAAGGCGAGACGAGTCTATGTCTGGAAGGTCCTTAAACTTATACAAGCATAATTTTTAATTCAATCTCAAAGGCGCATATTTATCTGCCTGCGATATACCACTACTTAAATAAACTGTGATTAGTCATGATCTACGTGCCTACAAAATAAGAGAAAGGACATCTACGACTGGCCGGATATTTTTAACTAATAAGCAATTTGAAATTTCCGTGGACTAGCGGCATGGTTGTACAATTTTTAGCACGATAACGCCGAGATAATTTTTATCCTTCGTTTTTGAATGATTATAAGTAAGTACGTAATACCGAACAAGATCCATCCTTCATAGTATTCGTAAAAAATTTTATTCTATTGATAATTATAGAGAAAGCGGACCAAGACCGGTCAAATCACGTTGTCTGCAATGCCAGCATTTTTGCAATTGCCTTATCACCAATGAATTTCGATGCAGGCGGTGCGGAGAGCAACGTCTATATTTGATGCTTCATCTGCAACAGGATGCACAAATACAACTTAAAAAAAGGAAACCTTTTAATGAAGTTTGCGTTTGTGTATTCTCATTAGGATATACACCCTTCGTCGTCTATATGGACTAAAGAGTATTCAAGCACGGCCGTAAATTGTTCAGAAGTCTCTAAACGAATAAAGAAGTGGCATTTATTATCTTTGGAGTTAGATTGACACGTAGAATTAGGTCAGGACAATCTAATATCGCCACTTACCCTCTCTCGCACCGCTACGAGTTCGAATTGACGACGAAACCCGGCAGTGGTGCAACCACTGTTGCGGCACCGACTTTTAGCTTCCCGTCGTTTATATTACTAGAAGATTTACAAAATACGCGTGATCCGGAGATTTTATGTTTGAAATGTTATCACTCTTGATCTATATTGAAAACCCTGAACGATTGTCGATCGCGTGCTGGTCCTCCTCAACTATGCAGGTTGCGACGGGTTACAAATTTTCACCTGGTGCCGGCAATACGCCTCGTCTCGTCGTTTTAATAACTTTGATTCACGATTGCGTATCATTGACCAACTCCGCAACTCAGCTGTTTGTAAACATCGTGGATGCGAATACATACCTCTATCTGAGCTGAGACTTGTACTGTCCCCGCTAGTTTCAATTTGTGCGCAATTACGTTCGTGAATGCGATAATGTCAACAGGTGCAATCTTTCCTTCCATTCGTGCCTCGGTGCAGCCTATCCCACATCTAGCTGAGTGCTAGAAACGTAAAATCTGGTGAACTTCGGCTTCGTATTTTCCATTGGTATGCTTAAGAATGCGAGATTTTCGTTATATTTGACCGATACAGCAAGTTGGTACACCTGGTCGCTTAACCTATATAAAATTAACGCAACAGGTTGTGGTCGTGGCCTTTCCGACACAACGTGTCGTCTGTACGATCTGCCTCGTAGATCCGCAATTTGCAGCTTAGTTCTGTCGCTCTATGATTAAAAGACTCGATAATAACTATAATATGTCCCCATCTGACCCTATTGAACGAATGATCGGACGAAGCGCGCCAATTGTTTCATCGAAGAGATTCTGTAAGATTCTCTATATTATTTTGCGAATCGGAGCGAATTCTTGTCAATGGTGAAATTTGCCATTCACAACTTGGTGAATGCTTCGACAAAGCATACGCTGTTCCACGTGAATATTTTACACTATCCGTTTCTATCCACGTTTCCAAGAAAATTAAATCTTTGACAAGGTGGACACATAATTCTTTAAGCGATCACCAAATTAGCTCAAAGTCATTTCGTACTGACCGTAAAATCACTACGTATGATGCCGATGTCGATCGTATCGACTTCGATGTAGTAGAAGAAATATGCGTAATGAGGATTAAATGTTGCTGATACTCAGTAGATTAGCATCAAGCTTAACGAGTCCAAAGAAGCAATCAGTAAAGCGACAGCTCATGTTGATACAATTTACAATAGGATAATTGTAGAATAAGGTGGTGAGTCAGCAGATGAATTTTTACTGGCTCACGCTACAGGCTCCCTTTCGATCTACATATCATATGCGATAGATCGTTAAAAGCGAAACGCTTAAAAGATTGAAAAGTCAAACGGTGTTTGGTAAAACTAAGATAGCTTAGTCATTCCATCTACGATACCTACCAATGCACATAGTGACTTACGCTGGTCATAACTTATAGCTGCAGTATATCTCGTTTCATTTTGCGAGCTGTGCATGTCAAATCGAACTGTCATGTTAGGTGAGCATGCGACTTACGTTCTACTTCTGTAGCCTCATTCCGTACTACCAGTATGGTGCTTTTCCGGTGTAGAAAGACTGTGAGCTATAGCGTCTTCAATTGATCTTGATGCTCACGAGGCTGATTGTGACAACTACTTGTAATCGCAAAGCTAATAAAAAAGATACTTGTACTCACAGTTTTTTTGCTTTACCCAGACGTCCAGCCACTATGTTGCTATGTGTCGTTGCCTGAAATGGTTTATCAAGTACGTATGGCACAAGTCGGCGTATGTCCTAAGACCGGTGGGGCAGTTCTGCAGCCACAATATTTTATAATGTAATAGTCATCATTAATGATGACTTCAAGCTACATCATCGTAAATACAGCCAGTCATTTAATCTTAAAGCAGATGCGACGAACGTCATGGAAGTAGCACTCTGCGGGAAGTTGCAATCGTTATCATATGCTTAGGGCACTTACTTGTAGCATGGCATTTCCTAAAGTATGAAGTTAGAGGTGAGTCATTTACGATGTTTTTTTATCTCTAATAATGCCTCGAGTTAATCCTCATACGCTCCAGAAAAGTCCCGCTCACACCGGTGATCACGTCGTCTTATGATGTATGTAAATCAGCTCTTCAGTTTACATGCAACACGGCTCTTGTAATCGTTCGGCTACAAATATGTTCGCGATGTGGTCGTAGCGGCTCAAAAGAACTCCAAATATTCGGTGGAATCGGG